GCCAGACAGCTCTAGCAACAGAGGGAGGTCATTACCAGAGTTCCACAGGGATTTTTGCAGGGGATGCAGTTATTCATCATATTCCTAAGCAACCTGGGAAAATGGATGAGCAGTGAGGTGAGAAAGCTTTATAATGATATTAACTTTCGCACAGTGAAAAGGATGATGGCTTGCTGGATGTGAAGAATTAGGAAAGGTGCTTATGGAAGAAAGTCTCCAGGCAATAAAAAGCCAGATGAAATTCTTTGTAGTTGAATGCAAAGTATTGCAAAAAGAGCCAAACAATTCTGAGATCAAGAGTCACATACACAAAAGTGCATGTATTTTAAGAGAGCATTAGAGGATCCTACCACATACTATTGGCTTGCTCTTACTCTTCTGGTTGGCTTCTGTTTATAGTCATGGTTTAAGGTAGGATACTAGTCTGCGTGGATTTTTGGTCTGACCAGGTGGAGGAACTGGGTTTTTTACTATTGTAGGCTGAGATCCAATATGGTGCATATGACAGAAAAACATTCTGGTTTAGGACTCTACAGATTTCCTGTGTCCTTGCATGGCAGTAACCATGAACTTAAACCTGCCAGCTATTGATGTTCATAGCATTAAGAATCCCAAGGAAGGTTTCAGCCCTTCAGAGCACTCTTTACAAACCAGCCACAGGCCCCTCTACTGGTTACACTGGGACTACCCAGGTAAGACATGTTAATCACATAAAATACAAAAATACAGTAAGTTTCTTCACCACGAATGAAGACAAAAATGTTTAACAGAGGAATGTGAAAAAACATGGACAAAATCTATTTCTTTCACAACTAGCAACACCAGAACACAAAATGGTGTGAGGTTTTCCCCCGGAGTTATAAGGCTGAAAAACTGAAGCTTTTGCAGTTAATGCTGAAAATCTCAGAGAACAGAAAATCCTCCTTGCATAAAATCAGATAATCTTTATCAAGGGGAGGAGCAGACCACCAAAAGTTCTATTGCAGAATGCCACCCATTGAAGTGACTTTTCCCCTAAAAGACTTCACAGAAGCCCAGGCAACTGCATACAGGAGTCATTATCCAGTTCCATTAATGAGGAAAGGGAGTTGTTGATTCACTACTCAGTACTAACCTTTTGAAATCCCAATACTATGTCCTGACAAGAAGTCTTAGGCAGAAGGTCTCTACCTCCATATCCATCCATCCAAGTGGATATGACATGACTTGGTCAGCATTGCATCAGCTGAGCATTAGTGATCTCTCACTCTGCCGTCCAGACTATGCTGGGAGTACTGCTTCCTAACTTCCTACTAATTCATCTGCTATGATGATGAAAGACAAATAGTCCCAGAAGTCTTCATCGTCCCACACAAGGGAGAAGTCAAACTGAAATCAAGCAAAGATGTCAAAAAGAACAGTCAGGAATTGCTGCAATGATTCAGTTCACATTCATTGTGTCAAGTACTCTGCTAAAGCACGGTGATGAGAAAATTCCTGGCTTCTCTTTTTAAAAAGAATATGGTGGTACATATGCAGTAAACGCTAGTTTGATGAATAATATACTAAACCATCCCTAGAGTCTATCATTGTTTCTGATAACAGGAACAGAGTCTCTGCTGCCCAGTGATTTCTCAAATGTTCCCAGTTCTCTCTAGCAAATAACATGGGAAAAGAGAATCTCAACTAAATTACCATTCAGAAAGAATATAAATAGGAATAGGATTCCTTGTCAGGAGGATCAGCCTGGTATATTCGTAGAGATCAGTACCAAACACTGGCTGAAGACAACTGCTTCAGCTTCTGACAATCCTAGCAAGCAATGTCTAAAAAAGATACAACAAACTTCTAAACTTCTACTGTTTAGACTCTTACACACGTGTGTAGGGTTTGTAGGCAGCAATATGTCTTTAACACAAATGGTAATGGCAGTTGGTAAGCAAAGCTTGCCATGTGCATGAGTATAGTTCACAGCTCAGGGCCAATCTTTGTAGAGTCCACAAAGCCATCACCAGAATGGAACAACAACTTGACAGTCTGAAAGCCTGAAACACTACTCTGCTCTCTGTGTCACTCTTCAGTGCCACCCACTCACTCCTGTAGCTATCCTCTGAGCATGCCTTACCCCACATGCTGAGGACTGTGTCCCTCACAAAAACACAGCTGCAGCAGGCTGCTCATCTTCACAGAGAGGACACTCTAATCATCAGAGATTCTTCCCTCAAATCAGCTGCTTGCTCAGCCTGCTCGCACTCTGCCAGAAGGCAGCCATAATTGCTGCTTTATAGGCTTGTCTGGGTGAAATCCAGCCTTTCTTCCAAGGTGTTCTACTGAGCAAAAATCTGTGGCGTCTGCCTCAAAAGCATTCTCCAGGAGGACAATGCACTTTTTATGGGAACAGGAGGGCATGTCAAAGTAGGTACAAGATTGCAAGACATACTTCCATGGCTTCAAAGAGGGAAAAGTGCAGAGAGACAGTCAGTGTACTGAACCCATTCCCTTCTTCACAGACTTCAGAATATCAGTTACTACAGATTTCAGCAAATATATTTAGTAGTAGACACTCCTGTCCAGAGATACAAAGGAGAAGGTTCTGTAGCCATAGCATGGCCCCATTCTCATTACACACAATGGAAATAATATTGCTGACTTTATTAGAAATTGTGTCAGATCCTGTCACCAAACTAGTCAGTCAGCTAGGAAGTGTTAATGAGAAAGTCTTACTTCTGCCTTTTCAATCCAAAACAAACAGCGATCCAAAACATATTTTCCCATTTCAATTACTTTACTCCTCACTATCCTGGGGTAATAGTATTGTTTATTGATTACTCATTTTTAAATGGAATCCTATCTGTTTTATTTCTTCTTATTCCCAAAGTTTCCAATGAAATAAGGATTAAGATATAGTTCAAATATAGTGAAGTGAAGGATGCATTTTCTTCTGCTACTTCTAAAAGGTATTTAGAGTCTATGCTGCTTTGGAGTCTATGGATTGATTGTTTCTTTAAAAAAACTTCTTAAACATTAGAAAATATAAACACTGCTGTTAATGGGAAGATGTGCAAAGGTTCCTTTACAGGTTTGTTTTTTCTTTTCTGTTTCAAAACAGGGTGAGGAAACTTCATAAAATATAATACCACAGAAAGACTCCTATTACTTTGACATCAATTCCATGCTGGGTTTTATCAGCAGAAGGTCAAGTAAATTCAAATATATATAACAAAGAAATTTCTGTTCATATAGAGTAAGATGGATTGCTTAAATTAGATGTCATGGAAGATGATTTGCGCCAATGTACATGTCTGTGCACCAACATACACGTCCAATCTCATCTTTTATTAATTCAGGTAGAGACCTGAAAGTGTAGGTTTTTTTGATGTTCCCAGGTGTGGCTGCTCTTGAACACTGTCATTTCCATTGCCTAGTTGATATACTTTGCCTAGAGATTTGTACTGCAGAAGCAAACCACTATTTTCTTTTGCCCTGAAGACCTAAACATGAATCACTACACCTCTTAATTCTCCTCATGCAATCAAAGCATGTCCTAAAACACATTGACTCTCCAATCCCATGTTCTCTACTCTTCCTGAAAGCTGATAGAACCAGACTAATTTAAACAGTCTCCCCTAATCAAACCACTTCTGTAGTTTCTCCTAGTCTCTCTCCCATTCTTCAGTGATAACTCCATCTGCCACAGGAATCTGCTGCGGCACAATCCAGTTGTGACTCCACTGTTGGAGAGACCTGAGAGAGTTTTGAGTACCCAGAAAATGATCAGGACTCTCATGCCTTTTGAATCAATCATTTCCATGCTTTGTACAGTGTTGCACAAAACAGAGATTATCTTTAATGGAAAGGAGAAAAGAGGGACTGAAAAAGCCCATTACCTAATGTAGAGCAACTTATCTTTACCACTGGAGCCCTAAGTCACATATGTAGGATGTACATGATCTCTGTTAGTTCAGCTTAGTTTATGCATCATCTCTTCTTTGATAGTGGAATAAAGGTGTGGAAGCTCATGAAAAAAAAGCAAGCTAAAGGTATTCAGAAGTACCCATTAATTTTATTACCAATTCAGAAGAAGTCCACATTAATTGTCAACATTAGTCAAGGCACCAATTCTGTGATGTCCTTACTGCAAAGCATATACAAATTATTTCCTCTGTACTTGCTTTTCATGGTCACCCTTTCACAGAGTACAGTTTGTCTTGGACAAACTACAGACACATACTGAACAACATCCTGAAAAAATCCTTGATGCTTTTTTCCCCTTCTGTCTGTTGTACCGTTTGTTCCAAATATGGAGGGTAGAAGATGTTAAAATACAATTGCTAAAAATCTTACCTAAACTAATCTTAAAAACCTAATGTTAAAAAATAATTAAATTCATTTTATATCACTTTGTGTTAAAGAAATGCTTTTTCTGAACAATTAAAATGTGCAGATGCTTTATTTTGTTCCCAAAAATTAGCTGTCATTTTCTGGTTTTTTTTTTTCTAAGGTGATATTTGGCTTGCACATAGAAGAAAGCCTTTGTAACAAGTATAATTCCAAGTGAAAATTTTATTTTTCTAAGTCCTAAATTAGATACAAATTTAATCAGGTAGTTTCACATCAGACTACCTTCAAATCCTGGCATGTAACTGGCTTGCTTTCCTTCTCTCATTCCATTGTTCTCTAACACGTCTTTCAGTTTAATTTTTCTTGAATTCTTTTCATTAGACATATTTCTCTTTAGCTGTTACTGTTTCACAGGATAGTAACTTGTGATGGCTACTTCATAGCAAAGGGCCACCATGCAGAAGTCAATGGCAGAACTCCCACTCACAGAAAAAAATAATCTCCCTGATATATTTTAATTGAAACTCCTCTGGATTGTCAATTGAATACCTGCCATTATACATTTTACTTTTCAGGGTTGAAACACTTGAATTAGAGAAATTGAGTTTTCTCTCCTCTCCTCTTTCTCTTGAAAGCAACAAACATACTCCTTTCCTTTAAAATGTAATTATGTTTCTTACCATCCACGCTGTGACAAAATCTCCCATCCAAGTCCCAACTGCAGCTACCTTCATAAAATTTTCATTCCTGATGCCCATGAAGTCTGTTATAATGTATGCACTGTGAAAACAAGAACACAAACGTAAGATATACACATTTGGCTCAATGTATTTACAAAGAACTTGCATTAGTGACAAAATTTATGATTATCTGTGAAAGATTTCCCATTGCTTTCATAATAACTTTTCTGCTAGATCTGAATCTTGACATAGAACTGAACCCATACGTATTGATTTCAATTAGAAATGCAATGTGAATCTGATTTTGAAGTCCATGTCTCTTCTGAAGGTGCTAAAATAACAGTTGGCAAAGACTTTAGGATTATGTGAAGCTTCTGGAAGTAGAAAACACTTTATGGTTTTTTATCTTTTTCCTTTATACAAATAAAATTACAACATTTTTCAAGTCTGCGACTTTGCAAAGTCTTTATGAAGAAAAATAAAAACTTTTAAGCTATCTTCAAAAAGATAATTGAACTGCTTGACTTTTCACTCTATCAGTTATACAACCACTTTTTTAACACATCAATGTAAGCAAGTTTTGCAAAATTTCAGTGAGATGTCAGTGTTTCTAGATTTATAAAATTTATTTTCACAGATCTATTTTACTTAAATCCAAAAGAAGCATTTCCATTCTGCTCAAATAATGCAACAGATAGGATTTACAACCTTACTTGGTAATTTGACTTAAAGCGCACCAAGATGCTATAAAGACAATTCAGAAGGTAAAGTTATTTGTTCCAGATTAAAACCTTTCTGAAAAAAACCATACATTTTAATATACTGATATCCTTTTCTAAAAGACTTTTGTAGGGGTCCAGAAGAGGCAACTCTCCTCAAGAGAGTTATGAAAAATTATGATAATGAATATCAATGACAATTGTATTTTAACTTTTAAAGTGATATCTTTGTTTTCAAGACACTTGTAAACATTTTTATGTATGATCATGCCTGTTTAGGAGTGCACATAAGTGACACAGTTATATGTAAAAGTGTCCTTGAACACTGTGCTATCCATTATTCAAGTCTTACCATTGTTACATTCCAAATATTGCAATGTCTAGGAACTATACAGACCATATCTCTGCAATTGGATCCATGCAAACTGATTCCACTCTCTGGGCCAGCTGGTAAAATCTAAATATCTGAGCAAGATATAAAGTCTTGCTAGCACAAGTCCATGCATAGCATAGTCTAATTTCTTAGAGAGAATTTAATATGTTGTAGAGCAGAAATATTATTGTCAGTGAATAATTTCATGACATATGAAAAATGTCCTCCTAGTATAACAGCCCTTTTCATTATACATATTATGACCTTTCTGCTGGTATGTCACTAACAAAAAATGCCATCTGTTTATTTTTTCTGTTGAACAGCACATAAATGCTGGATCTGATTTTCTGCTGAAAAAAAAAAAAAAAACAAAAAAAACCAAAAAAAAACAAACCAAACTATTTTAACAGCATTCCATGTAGTTAAAAGATCATAAGTATCCTAAATTAACCATGTTATAAATAAGGATGTAATAACCCAAAACCAGGAACATCAGGTTAGCCTAAAGTCTCCCTGCTTCTATGTTCTGCCTCCAAGAGAGGGCAACAGCAGAAACAGACTGAAAACAGGCAAGCACAACCCTCCCAGATATATTTTCCTAGATGCTTTAGAACTGGAAAATGTTTGGAATTCCTTTTTTCCTGTATCTTGGGCATGCCATTCTTGTAGCATCTGTGAAGGAAGAAAATAATCAAGTCTGCATTCCTTAAGAAGGCTTCTTAATCACAAAGAAGGCACAGCAATAAGTGTCATTTGTAAGGAATGGCCCTCAAATGCAAAGCATATCTTAGTCATTTCCATCAGCGGGAGACACATACAAAACCCCAGGGTTCTCACCTTTTCTTATGTGCACTACACATTCTCATATGCATTGCACATGATTACAGGTGTACAATAAGCAAACACTTGCCCAACGCCCCCAGAAAACTGGCCACTTGGGTCATTCCTATAGCCCTGGCACACAGAGCAGGCCTGCCACAGCCACCCTGGCAGGATGCTGGGCACAAGGAGGGTTAACCAAAAACGCTGAGAGGTCACTGATCCCTGAATACTGGTATTACCTAGCAGAAGAGAAACCAACTCAGACATAAGTGATGTTTTTTAATAGAAATTGAAATTCTCAGTGTAATCACTTATTTTTATGAATGTTAGAAGTATCAGAAGGTTTATTATAAGGTTGAATGAGCTGGATACAATAGTTAAATACACAGAAGGGTCTTGAAAACATCACATCCTCCCAACAGTTCTTCTTGTCATTTAAAACATGAAAACACCAAGGAAGTTTAGTATAAATTGTGCATTCCAGTCTACAAGTAATTAATGCCTGAATTAAATATGCAAACTGACAAACCTTCAGTTAGTGTCAAAATAGCATATTATTATAAAGAAACTGCTAGGAATATAAACTGTGCATGTTTTAGGTGTATTTACTAATTAAAATACAACTATAACTTCTTATGAACAGGAAGAATATTTTTAGAATTGTCATCTTATTAGAAATAGTAATGAAATACATTACTATTTCATTAACTGTTAGCATTACACCCTCTGTCTTTTATGGTCTCTGCAGTATTATTTTTCTTTCAAAACACAAAGAGATAGGGATTCTGGGCTGCTAAAAATGAATTTAAAATAAACCCTAACCCTCCAGTTTTCATTTTCAGGTTTTAGTTTAAATAGGAATAAGGACACTTGACATTTTCAAGAAAGACATGCTTTCCTGAAGATACCAGCAGGACACATATTATAACAGTATCAAAAGTCAAATTAATTCTATTGTGGAAAATCCTATTGTGGAAAATCCATTTTTCTAGCTTTAGCTAATGATTAGAGTAGTTTTCTTTAATTGTTTAGCCTTCTTCCTGGCTAGGACCCATGTCTGCACCTTGCAGAAGGACTAAGGTCTGCTGGGCTCCAGTTAACTGTCAAAAGGACTATAGCTTGTCAAAAGGCTTTTCTGTTTGCTCCAGCATATGTGTGTGTACTGTGCAGCAAGGCACCAGCTTATTGAGCAGACAACCTAAGGAAACACTGAGTGAAAAAACACAGCAGTTAAAGCACAGAGTAAAAAAGCTTTTCTAGGGTAGGATAAGTGTAAATAAAGTCTGAGGAGCCAATACTTGTGAATATTATAGATAAAGGACAAATCTGTGACTGGGATTTTGGAGCCTTTCACAGTAACACTGGAAGCTGCAGCTCCAGGGAAACTGCTTTTAGCAGGCCAAAGTCTACGGAAGGTAGAGCAAAATCTTAACAGAATAGGATGAAAGAGAAGGATCAAAAAAGAAAGGAGATTTGATAAATACAATTCTAAAACAGATTTTTAAAAAATCATAAGTAACTGTCTACATCCATGTTGATGCAAAAGGTATGTTAATACTCATGAGTCAGTAAAAAGACATATGAGCCCAGTGTATTTGAGTAGTTTCTGGAGTTAGCAGCAGTGTGCACAGAATGGATAAAGAGGGACACAACTACACTAGCCTGGAGGTTTTGTTCAAAGGAGTATATCAAAGCATTTTTTCAAAGAAAGATGACACTGCTAAAATTACTAAGTCTGAAAGCAAATGGAAGGTTTTAAATTTTACATTGGATAGAGATGCACAAGTCACTGTGGTGCTATTGACATTGTTCCAAGACCTGGAAAAAATGTCATGACTGAGACTCAGTGCTGAGATGGTTTTTTCTTGACCACCACAGGATCTAAGAATGAGCTTTAGCTTGAACGGAGACACTTAAATGTAAGGGTAAACCATGAAGTCAGACTCTATATGGAGCTTTGTCAAACTGGGTCAAGGATTTAGTTGCTTTATGTTACTTCTTGATGGCTAGCATGTCAAAAAAAAAAAAAAAAAAAAACCCAAAACATGTTCACATATTAAAAGGCATTGTTAAACCTATGTGATTAAGTGATTCCCAGTGCAGTAACATAACTTGATCTCCAGATGATAATCCAAAGAGCTCTGTATCTCTTGTGAGGTCTGTGACATAACTGACAACCCAGACACATACGAACTGAATCCTGGGTGTCCTGGGACAGCAGTGAGAGCATAGACACTTTGGAGAGGTTTTAGTTGCCTTTTAAAGCAATTTTACCAACCCTGATACATCTTAACTAAACTTGAGCTGGTTCTTTATATATTTGAGATTACTGAAGGCACTGGGCTGGCACACAGAACACAGTGCATGTTCTGTACAGAGCCAACAAGAACTGCATCCACAGAGAGCCATAACTTAATGCTCTTTAAAAAGGAGTGGAGGCCTAGATATCTTTTATTTTGAGTAACAAAAGTCCATACATGTTCTGCAGTCCATTATGCACTTTTCTGAGGTGGCTTTATTATTTGGCCTTCCCCTTAAATAGCTGATTATCTATATGGAACTCATCTTGCTTGATGCTTCTGACAAAGTGAAATGCTCTGACACTGGCTAACAAGCAGAAGGCACAGGAGTTTACACAGGCTGCAAAGAAGTATTTGTTTAGATGTATCACCACAAGCTTCCATTACTGTCAATTTGGAAGAGGCAGAGAGTGTCAGCATAACTGAAAACATACATAAAAGACTGCAGATACAGTTCCTGATCTGTATTTGTCACTCTAAAAATGACAGAATGCCAAATGAGACACTTGATAGCAATTCACTCAGCTGAAAAGTTATTCTTCTAATGTTAGGAATTGAAGTTAGAGACACAGGGAACTGGAAGGTGCCCAGAGACAGCAAGACCTGCTGTCCTATAAACTGGCACAACATAATGAGGATGGCATAATGCACAGCTACCAGCAAACAGCACAGAGAGCACAACAGCAATTCATCCAGCCCCTAACCATCCCCAGTGCATGCTTTAGACATACAGACAAAACCTCTATGACACCAGAACAGAGAGAATTAAGAGGCACTGAACCAGGGATTTTGCTTGACAAGACATCAAAGAGGTAACAGCCACAAGAGGATCAGCAGGCTAATCTCCAAGACACAAAAATCTGAGAAGCAAAACCAGCTTGGTTAT